GAGGGAGGGAGGGAGGGAGGGAGAGAGAGGGAGGGAGGAGAGAGGAAAGAGAGAGAGAGGACAGGATTACGTCCTACTTAAATTGGAAGGCAAAGCAGAAGAGAAAGGCCTGCATCTGACACCCTCAGCATGTGGAGTAGGCATTCACGCACTCTTTTCTCAGTGCCCCGACAGGAGAAGAGTAGGATGGGAGAGGGGGAATGTGATCAAAAGGAAAGTTGTGCATCATAGGCAGGTATGGGCTCCAGACCGGGAGTGCCACATGCGCTTGGGTGACAGGTGACAATGACCACCCTTATTTCACAGAGAGACAAAAGTCAGGCAGGGGGGCGGGGGGGCAAGGCCTAAGGACGCCAAGGAAATCGATGCTCTGGAAAGGCTCGGTGCGAAGTCGGGGGTCTGGGCGCACGGCTTGGGGATCTGGCTCCCGATGCTGGAGATCGCAGCCCGCGGCTTGAGCGTGCCACACCGGCTCCACCTCCGAGCTGCACCCCAGCCCACGCAGAGGAACACGGCCACTGGGTGCGCATGCGCCCGTAGGGACCATCACTCTCCATGTCCCAAACGTGGGCCCGCCAGACACCCCAGCGCGTGCAGTTAGCGTATTTACTTAGCTGCTCCCCGCTTCTCTCCCTGTGCCGAGCCCTAACTCTTTCGGGCGGGCCGACGCTCGGACCTGGTCCGCCAAGCCTCCCCCAGCCAAGGCAGCGCCGGAAGACCCCGGGCCCTTCTCCGCCCGCCCCGGGGGGGTCGTCTGGAGAGCCGCGCCCACCCTGCAGGCCTGAGTCCCGGGGGCCTGGCCTCCCCGCGCCCCAGTCTCTCACCCGCCTCGGTCCACGCGCTCGCCGTCACCCGGCAACACCGCCTGGGGGCGGATGCCTCGGCCGTCAAGCAGCGAGGCCGTAAAATCAGTCGAGTGCGCAGCCTCAAAGGCGCAGGCTGTCCGGTCAGCTGTACCGCAGTGCGCCTGCGCAAAGCCATAACCCTAGTTCACTCCCAGGTGGGAGACCAAAGCAGCTTGTTGTTTTTCCTGTTCTTCTGGCTTCTGTAAGGGAACGGTTCTTGGTTACTCCTCACAGCAACCCCACAAGACTCGTTTTACAGCTGAGCAGCGAAGCTACCTGGTGCGGGTCGCATAGTGGAGCCGGGGTACCTTTGGGGATCCCACCGCGCTTCATCCAAAGGCTGTGCCTGGGGACTGTGACCTCGGCCTGCGCCGTGTGACCCGGGCCTTGAAACCAGCTATGCAAGGGCGCCCCTGCTGTGAGTCACCCGGTGACCCCAGGGACTTCAGAGCCTTGTGTCTTCCATTGAGGAGCAGGTGGCCAGGGCTCTGAGAGTGACAGCCCCCTCCTTCCTGGTCACGTATCGCAGCCCTGGCTGGGAGGCCACAGACGCCTTGGCAGATGGGGAGGAGGGAAGAGGTCGGGGGGAGGGTGGCAGATGTGCAGGAGATGCTCTTGGGGCCACTTGGCACAACTCGGGGACTGCGGGGCCTCTTTAGCCCTCCTTTGCACACGCTGTGCCTCTGGCTGGAGCACTCTTCTCCCCTGTTGGCTGCTGTAATTTCGGGTTGTCCTTCAGATGTTGGCTCGGCGCTCACCTGGGCCAGGGCACCTGCTTGGAGGACGGGCTTCTGCGTTCTGCAGTGTCTGGCTCAGCATGTGTTGTCCCAGCTTCATGCTCTTTCTCAACCGGTCTGTGAGCTCTTGGGAGAACAAGATCACCGTGCAGCATCCATGGCATGCTTAGCCTGCGAGGGCTTGGACTGTGGGCCAGGGAGTACAGGCTTCAGACGATGCAAAATCCAAGCGATTCACGGCTGGAGTGGCAGCAGGGAAAAGAAGGGAAGAGGCATTGTCAAGATTCACAGACTAGTGGCCGCCTGTCTTCCTTCCTTCTTTCCTTCTTCTCTCCCCACCCTTCTCCTTCCCTCTCCTCCCCTCCCTTCTTTCCTCTCCTCTCTTCCTTTCCTTGTGGGCTTAAACCCAGGGCCTTCACACCAAGCTTTATCCCCAGCCCCTTTTTTAGTTTGAGACAGGGTCTTGCTAAATTGCCCTGGTAAGACTTGAATTTAGGATCCTCCTGCCTCAGCCTCCTGACTGCTGCTATTACAGCTGTGTCCCACCACACTTAGCCTTAGTCTGCTTTTCATCGCTGCAACAAAATATGCGGGGCTGGGAAATGTAGAGTCTTGTTCAGCCCACTGGGCTGGAGATTCCAGGGTGAAGCATCCGCATCACTGGCTCAGCCCTACTGCAAGGTGGGCACGTGGAGGAGAGAGCACCCCCATGAGCCGAGGCAGGACACCCGCCTTGCCTTCCCTGAGCAGCGCCCCCTGCTGCCTGATGACGCTGCAAGCCCCCACCACCCCGAGGTCCAGTCCCCCAACACGAGAGCCCTTTAGGGTTCACCCAACCCACTGTGGTGCTGCGAGTGGAGTGGGCAGCTGGAGGCAGTGCTGCGCTTGAAGTGCCAACCCCAGAAGCATGGGCAGGGCATCCCTGATCTGAAATGCTTGGGACCAAAAGTGTTTTGGATTTTGGAATCTTTGCCAATACAGAATGTGATATGTTGGGAATGACATCCTGGTCTACACATGAAATTTGATTTTTTTGCTCACACCTCCTCCATACACACAGCTGGAAATTTGACAGTATTTTCAGGGCCCTGCATTTCCACCTCGACCCATCACAGGAGCTCAAGTGTGGAATTCTCTCTCCATAGCGTCAGGGCTGAGGTTTTCTGATTTTGTAGCACTTGGGGTTTTCGGGTTAGAGCCACTCAGCCCATATTGGGTTTGGAACTGGAGGATTTTAACAATGCAAGGGTCTCTGAGGGTCACAGAGGAGCCAGAGTAGAGGATGGTGAATGAAATGCTCTTCCCTTACTTTTTCTTATGTCCTCATGGCAAACCTTTTGTTACGATCATTTTCAAACATACGGGAAAGTCATCTTATACTGTAAACCATCGCTTGCACAGCCTTCCATTTTTTGCCCCTTCCACACACACTTATTGCCCAACTGGAGAAGTTTGCTGTTGAGATAGACTCACCGTGTCCCCCAGGGTGGTCTCAAATTCCTGGGCATGGGCGAGCTCCTGCCTCAGCCTCCTGATAGCTAAAACTATGGGCACAAGCCACACTAGAGTATTTTTAAAACAATCCCAGGGCCCAGGTGTGGTGGCACACACCTGTAATCCCAGTGCTTGGGAGGCTGAGCCAGGAAGATTGAAAATTCGAAGGCCAACCTGGGCTACGTAACGAATTCAAGGCCAGCCTGGACTAAATAGTGAGACCCTGTCTCAAAACAAACCCCAAATAAACCACCCCCAAAACATGAACGTCATAGAAAATTCCACCCAGCTCTTTGTGCATTTCTGGTGGACAAGGGCTTAGTTTATTACATGTGTATGCAGTGTATACACACATGTGACACAGCTGTGTAGTTGATTCTCATTATTTGAGATGGTTCTGCCCTAAGGTTGCTGAATCACAGACAGTGAACATTGCACCGCTGCTCTCAGGGGAAACGGCTGGGTTTCAGGGCACCTGGGATCCCGACATTGCCACCACCTGATCAATGCACTGCCTTGTTCTCCATGTTTCTATTTAAAGACACTTCATACAGTATCAATTGTTGATTCATTAATGTGGAACTTGGGCCAACAGCTCCACGACTGTTGCCCAAAGGCATCTTATCTAGCCCTCGACCTTCCTCTAGGGAGGTTTGGGACCCTGGGCAACCCTCAGTGCTCCACTCCAGGGGTGGGGGTGGGGGTGGGGGTGCGTGCAAAACAGCTAAGCCACCTGCAAAAGCACAGTGTGCTTGGCTGGGTCAGGAGCCCAGAAAGCACATTGTTTATGTTAGGGATGGGGGGAGGTGCCGGGGCTCTTGGCCCCCAGTCTGTATGTGCAAAGGACTGCGAATGTCAGGCACTGGTTCTGAGGCCACAGCAGCTTCTAATGAGGGGATGAAGTGCAAATGGAGAATCAGAACAGGAAGGATGAATGGTACCTGCGTGCCCGTTATAATGCTGGGGTCTCTACAGTGGACAGTGATCCTTCACGTTATCTGTGACATGGGACACAGAACCACCAAGTAATATGTAGCAGGAAGATTTTTTTTTAAAAGCTGTTTTCCTGGCATGGTGGCATGCGCCTGGAGTCCCAGCACTCAGGAGACTGAGGCAGGAGGATCACCATGAGTTTGAGGCCAGCCTGGGCTATGCAGTGAGACCCTGTCCACAAAAAAGAGTTGTTCACCTGAAATCCAAGTTCACGTAGGTGTCCTTGTCCTTGTCCTTTCTGTTCTTTGCAGTGCTGGGGATGGAGCACAGGGCCTCAGCTGTGTCTCATATTTTATCTGCCACCCTCGTGGCAGTTTACTGTTTAGTGGGTGTCAAGCACTGTGAATCCGCTGTCCCCACCCTGTGACGGGCTGGTGAGGCCATGTCATCGCCTGTCCCCATGTGAGCCACCTGGCTTGCCCGTGGTCTCTCGAGCAATAGTGGAGGTCAGGGAGGCCCCAGATCTATGTGACTCCGGCCTTGGGTTCCCTTTAATCTGTCATGCTAGACACAGGAGAGGACCCTGCATTCCA